TGATTCGTGTTCAAAGCGTGGTTTTGGAACAGAGACAGACATCCAGATGCCTGTTCCCAGAAAACGAACTCCAGGTGTTTCTCCTGGTGTATTTTATAACTAAGCTCACAGTGCACGTCACAGGGCCAACACAACAAGCAGCACAGAGCACAGAGGTGCTGAAGGCACCCAACACCTGGCGAGGCACCTTTCCCAGCTCACACCTCCACACGCCATGGACGACAGAGGAACAGCTTCACAACACGGCAAAAACCCAACTCAGCATGAGACACGGCGAGAAAACAACAAACTTTTTTATCACGGCAGAACTGGCTGTGCCACAACGGGCTGATTAAACAAGAAAGAAAAAAAATGAGGAAAAAAAAAGAAGAAAAAAAACAAGAAAAAAAAAGGAGAAAAAAAGGAGGGGGAAAAAAAGGAGAGAAAAAGAAAAAGAAACACACACTCATCACTGTGTTGTCGCTGGTTAGGAAGGGGGGTTTTATGGGCAGCCGAGCTGACGCTCGCAGCAAACCTGAGGCACACGGCAGGCGCTGCACCTCCCTCCCTAAGGAGAGGGAGTGCGCGTAGGGAAGGGCTCCCCCGCTCCCGGGGAGCTGCCCGGCCTTTCCCCCCTCTCGCAGGGACTCCCCCAGCCGCTCTCCCGGGGGACGGGCGGGAGTGCCGGGCTGCGGGCACCGCACCGCCCCCGCCCCGCCGGCAGTGCGACGTGTCACCGCGGCGGAGCCGAGCCCGGCCCGCCCCGCCCGGCGCCTCTACCTTGTTGGTGGGCACGGAGCGCAGCCGCTTGAAGATGGCGGCGATGTCCTGCTTGCTGGGCTCGCACATGGCGCCGGCGGCCGGGCGGGAGGACGGCCGGGCGGCGGGAGAGAGCGGCGGAGGAGAAGCGGCCCCCGGGACGCTCCGAGCAGCCGGCGCTGCCGGGACGCTCCGCCCGCCGCGGTGCGAGGGCGGCCCCGCGGCCCTGGCGCGAAGGGGCGGTGCTGCCCCGCCCGCCGCCGCCGCCGCCGCCCGGTTGCCGCGGAGACGGGCCCGGGTGCGAGGCGGCCCGTGGGGTGGGGGGGGTGTGTGTGTGTGTGGGAGGGGGATCAGGGCACAGGGAGTGTGGGGCTGGGGGGAAAAAAAAACCCAGGAGCAACCACCTGCTCCCTTCACAGAATCGATTAGGTTGGAAAAGACCCCTGGGGACACCGAGTCCAACCTGTGACCGATCACCGCCTTGTCAACTGGACCGTGGCACTGAGTGCCACGTCTGGTTTGCCCTTTAACACCTCCCGGGACGGTGACTCCACCACCTCCCTGGGCAGCCCCTTCCAGTGCCTAATCACCCTTTCAGAGAAGAAATTATTGCTAATGTCCAATCTGAACCTCTTCCGGTGAAGCTTAAGACTTTGTCCTCTCATCATGTCACTTGTTACCTTGGAGAGGAGCCCGACCCCCACCTGGCTACAACCTGCTGTCAGGAAGTTGTAGAGAGGGAGAAGGTCCCCTCTGAGCCTCCTTTTCTCCAGACTGAGGCCCCCAGCTCCAGACCCTTCCCCAGCTCCATTGCCCTTCTCTGGACACCTTCCAGCCCCTCAATGTCCTTCCAGCAGTGAGGGGCCCAGAACTGGACACAGCATTTGAGGTGTGGCCTCACCAGTGCCCAGCACAGGGGGACAATCCCTGCCCTGGTCCTGCTGCCACACTATTGCTGATCCAAGCCAGGTGCCATTGGCCTCTTGCCCCCCTGGGCACACCTGGGCTCATGTCCAGCCGCTGTCACCAGCACTCCAGGGCCTTTCCCAATGGGCACTTTCCAGCCCCTCTGCCCCAGCCTGGAGCTGCAGGGGCTTGTTGTGACCCAAGGGCAGGACCCGGCACTTGTTGAACCTCATACCATTGATCTCAGTCTGTTTATCTACACATTATGGGATATGGGAATGTGAATCAGCCCTGTTTCCCCTGAGGCAGGTGATAAGTAAGGCACACTCTTATGCTTGTGACTAGACCCGTGTCTGCTCCTGAACTTGACAAGTAGGGTCCAAGCACTCTGTAGTAATTTTAGTTGAAACCATCATTCCCTCTCCTTGATAGCATTGAAGTTCTCCCCCAGGGACATGTGGAGCATTGCCAAACCAGCAGAAGAAAAAGACTCCAGGTTTCAATTGCTTTAAAAAGCAGCCTGTTCAGGTCATAAATCTGAAATCGTAAAGCCTCTTGGAACAAGAGCAGAATAATTATTCTGTTCAACAGAAAAATTTGTAATACAAATTCTGATGTTTCAACTAACTCATGCACAATGATAATAAAGAATTCCACATCTCTTCCCAGTCTTAGAGTCTCTGTACAAATGGATATTTAAGTACACTACACTTTCTGCTCTCATCCTCTGCTTATACTCATTACCTAATGCAGGTTGTGGTGATGTGTTAAGGCAATCAACACTTGGTCCATGTTCTGGTCATAAAATATAAAGAATAGTGAGGAATCATGAGTCCAAGTGGAATTCCATGCCTACAAAAAAGAGTTTCATTCCACATTTAGCTACTATTTGGGTCATTTTAAATGATTGTCTTAGAAAGTGGTTCACATCCGGGAAGAGTTCTGAGATCTGCAGAAGGAAAAGCAGATAAATGGTAATTTGCTGACCTACCTTTTCTCTGTCAGGTTTTGCAGCTGCTAGAGAGTGTATGAAATGGGATGCAGTGAAAGGCAAAGATAGGAAAAGTGGGGGGCTTAGAAGATCCCTCTTGCCTGGGGTGTTCAGGGACCGCTGAAGGTGGTGGTCTGTCACACAGCAGAGAACCAGGGAGTGGAACAATCAATTATTTTCTGCCTACACCTGTAGTTGCAGGAAGAGAGTATTTCTGGTGACCATATAAAATAAGCTATATAACAGTGATAGTAGGTACTAGCAGGTAATAGTGACAGAAAGAAATTAGTCAAAAGGATTCATCAGTGGAGGTGATTCTGTAGCAGTTTTTTTGGTGATAGAAAGGCTGCTGTCATCCAAAGAAACCAAACAGAGCTAACTTGGAAACACGTGAAAGCCCCAGTTTTAGAAGGGCTTTCTTCCCAAATCTAGGGGGCACATTTTGTGATTTTTACATTTGAAAACAAAGCCACAGATCTGTCACAGAATCTGTGGTAATCTTCACTCACAGCCACCAATGTAGCAGCATCTTGGCATCTTGAAAGATTTTACTATCTTCCCTTCCCCTTCTGCCTACCCATTCCTCTTCTATTGCCATTCCTAATGGGCATGAAATGCTCCTACAGCTCAAAACACCTACTTTTGCGGCCTACAGCCTTAAAGTCTTTCTCTTGTGTTTAATCTCCTTTGGTCCTTTTTGTTATCTAGACCCACAATTCTGTTTGTCCTCATATGGCTTTTAGCCTGGGACAGCAGCTTGGAGCTGATAGCAAAGGAAAACATGTCACACTGGAAAACCAAGTGACACGGGGCACTGAAGAAGACAGGTCAGGCAATGCCTTTCAGGGTCTCAACATATTTAATCTGTGTCTGGGGAGCTGAAGCACTGTCTTGGTGATCAACCAGAGCTGTTGCTTTTCATTCCCATTCATCTTTGACTTTGCCAAAAAGAATAATGTGTCAAATGAGAAGGATATTTGGATACTGTTAAACAGGGGGCTGGGGTTCTGCTTATTTCATTTCCATAGTATATTTATATAGTATATTTACAGATTGAGAATGAAAATGGATAAAAGCTTAGCTATTTCTCCAACCTCCAGCATAATATAGCACACTACCTCATCTCTCAGACCTCCAAGAGATTCTTTGACTAAACTAGGAGACCAGACATGAAATCTTTAGTATTTTTAGGATGATGAAAAAGGCTAGAAACAATAAAACCCGTTAGTCCTGTCTGTCTTTATATTTGACAAAGGGATAGGCTAAGAAGCAAATATCCAGGAAATTACCATAAAATTTCCCCTCTTCTCTCTCCAGACTGTAGAGATCTGAGGAGTGCATGACCCAGGGTAACTGGGAGGCTGTTGGATGAAGATATTTGCAAGCAGAAGGGTAAAAGAGATGGAACTCTCTGGACATACCGGTTATGGAGTCTTCCTCTGTGATAGAGTCTTATTCAACTATTTAAAAAAATGTAGGATTATTAAAAGTACTTGGTTCTGACACCTCACTGATTGCTTCATGTTACCTTCACCTTGTGTTTTCTTCTTCTGCCCACCTAATATTTCTACCTGCTCACCTTCCACTTGCTAAATGTCAAGTCTCTTATTTTTGCCTGTGTCTTGGCTCCAGCTTCTGGCTTTCTGGGATTTCTGGGCTGTATCTTTTTCTTGAAGAGAGAAGGGTAAGGGTAAGTGTGAAAAAAAAAGAGGGTGAGTAGCAAGATCTGTAAAACAGGTGTGCCATAAACTCGCTTCCCTGCAAAAAAGGACAAACCAAAGGGATTTTGTCACTCCTGCTGGTCCTGCAGATTACACATCTAATGGCTTGTTTGCATTCTTTTAATTATCTCATTCAGTCTTTACACATTCATTGCTGTGTTCAGGAATAAAAGGGATGGGCCTTCTCAGCCACGGGAAGAGAGAATGGCTGAAAGGCCAGGAAAAAACCCAGCCAAGCATGGGCAGCAGCAATCAATGTCATTCACAGCTCCAGGCTGTGCCTGAAGCCAGAGGAAGAGAGAATGCAATATAAGAAATTGAGGAAGCTCCAGGGGCAAGAAACAAAGATGAGAGACAGCTCCCCAGTGGCAGATTTACAGTCACATGTTTATTTTTTGATGTCATGTGTAATATGCCCAATGTCATATCTGTAACCAGTGACCCCATTGTCAGTGCTTAACCCATTGTCCCCCCAGTGCAAGTGGTTGTCTCTTAGGTGCCAGGACCCTCATGACAACAATTCAAAGGTCTCACAAATACTAAATGTTATTTTTCTTCCTGTCTGAATAACATAATAACAAACACCAGCGTATCAAATGCTTGACTAAATCCCTTTATTGATTTCACTATAGAGATGGGGTACATTAGCAACAGCAACAACACATCTTAAGTACAGATAAGCTTAGATACAAGGAACAGTTATAGAAATATTTGCTATGCAGGCTCCTCCTGCTCAGGGTCTGCAAATCATTGATATCAGCCTGCCCCAAAGAAATTATGGATAAGAACTGAAAATAACATAAAACCAGATAATATAATAATAATTACCAACAAATACATTTGAACCTGGGGTGCATCCAGAGGAGGACTCTGTTTTAACTGAGGCTACAGCATTTGGGGAAAAAAACCCCAAATGAATACAAAACTAATTACTGCCCCAAGACAGAATGAATATATTGTGAGACACTCTTCTGGACAAGTAGAACAGAATAATTTTATTCAAGCCAATGAAGGGATCAGACTGAGACCTCTCTACTAAATGAATATAGTTTCTTGCGTCTTCAATACCCCTCTCATACAAATCTCACTGAAGGCTGTCAAGAGAAAAAAAATCAAGTCCAAACCTGGGCTTTATAAAAAAGTTCAGTGCAATCTTTGACATTCCCTGTTTTGTCCATGAATTTTTGCACTTGCACATAATGCAATCTAAAAGCTTATCTATATTGCGAAGTATTGCAGAATCAAGTCAGATGTGAATTAAATGTAGGTCTCCAAGCAGTCCATCGGGTCACTTTTGTTGTATAAACAAGACCCAAATCCAACTTTTGATGCAGCAGCTTGAACCCAGGCCTTGCTACACGCATTGATATAATTGGATGGTTGCTGGTATTACAGGTTTAAGAAAACTCCAAATAAAATTAATATATGTCTTACCCAGATATGGTGAGGTTAGAGGTTTAACAGAGATCTGGGATGACATAACTGAAGAGTGATCAGACTGATGGCAGGTCTTCTTTCATACAAGTCTCTTCAGAGAAAATCATGTAAAAGAAAACAAGCATTATGTCCTGTTCTGTTGAACAAGCAGAACCTTCCTGGGCTGAGTTATCTGGAAATAAAAGAGACAAAAGTTACTAGAATTAGAGAATCTCACTGAAGATTAACCTGCTGTAAGGGTCCTATGAGTAAAGAGAGGGCACCTCTGTGCCATGAGGACCATAGCAAGACTTGGGATGCTTTGGGATGGAGGTCTGGTCATGCAGCTATTACAAAGGAGCCACTCAGTGACAACTTCCAGGGAGAGCGACCTGGAAGAGCGATTAAACATGTTTTGTGGCTCTGTGTAAGGACTATGTGTGGATGGGAAGGATTTCTCTGAGGGCTGTCCACTGCCATTCCTAGTCTGAATTGAACAACTGTTATCCTGATTGCCTTCAAATCCCAGACTGAACTTCCTTGTGAGGGGAAGAGGAGGGGCAGGCACTGATCTCTTCTCTGTGGTGAGCAGTGACAGGACCTGAGGGAATGGCCTGAAGTTGTATCAGGGGAGGTTCAGGTTGGATATTAGAAAAAGACTCTTTCCCCAAAGGGTGGTTGGGCACTGAACAGGCTCCCCAGGGCAGTGGTCACAGCACTAAGGCTGACAGAGCTCAAGGAGCATTTGGATGATACTCTTGGGCACATGGTGTGACTCTTGGGGATGGTCCAGGAGGGCCAGGAGTTGGACTCGATGATCCTTGTGGGTCCCTTCCAACTCAGCACACTCTGTGATTCTCTGAATAACCCAGCATTTGATTTGAGAGCTTCCTTGCACCTCCTCTGATAAATGCAAATGTGTTGTATGAAAATAGGACACAGTTAAAAATGGCTTACCCTGTGTGTCAGCAAGATGTCAGCGTCCACCTGAGAGGCTGGGACATTTCACTGCCAGGAGGATGACAGTGATGAGCAAAATCACTGCAGTGAAGATCAGGGCGAAAACAACGTAACACCAGTGTGAGTTCTCCAAGCAGGTCACTGCCAAAAGGACAAGGGAGAGGAGTCTCACCATAGGCAGAAAGCAAGTCAACTTTTGTTCTGAGTTATGGGAGGATGCAAAATCACTGTACCAGGCCTTCAGCAGGAGTGTGTTACACTGGGTGCTGTAGATCTAACACCTGTATATGTATGTAGGTTTATATGTATACAAACCTGTGTGCATACATAAAATCATGTTTTCAGGGGCAGAAGAGCCCTTCTCCTGGCCATTCCTAATTTTTATCATCATAGCTGTTGAGAAAACACCTCAAAATGTGACCTCTTACCTTCTGTGGCAGAGTACAGCTTTGCCAACATTTTGCCATGTGCACATAGCGCTGCCAGTGCTTCCCACCCTGAAATATACCCTGCCTTTTCCTTGGAAAATGCCTTGCAATGGTTGTGTTATTTTCCTGAGGTTACAAAACTGAAGAAAGTTCACCTTCAGGCTTTAAAAAAAGGTGTTATAAGTAATTTGAAATTCTAGAGACTCTTTCCAGATTATCATAATTTTTAAGCACAACAAAGAAACACTTGTTTCTATAGTCTTTAAATCCCTGCCTCCATCATTTTCTGGTCCAACTGTAATCCTGACTAGGATCATTGTGTTCATTAGATCCCCATTCCTTCATACTTTACATGTAAACCACCCCCCAATCTAACGGAGAATTGGAACATACATCTGACTTCTGTGGTTTTAAAGAGGTTGCAGTGAAGAATGTGAAGGGACAGAGCTCTTCTATAGTAATTATCCATATTTATAGCATATATTGATATTCCTTGAACAAAATTCTGAAAAGCTGGACAGTGTAGACAGAATCAGAGGGAGGAAGTGAGGATCGAGGGCTATAAAAAGGCAGCTAAAAACCAGATGGGTCGATGGCCATATATCAAAACTGTATTAGTGACCAGACTTTTCATGCTGCAGTCCCATCCTGCATTCACTGGGATAAAATCATTATCAATGAAATGCATTTCAATGAAAGCAGTAAATTGGTTTTGCCTTTGTAACGGCCAGACTGAGATCTCCACTTGTCCCACTCTCTCGTCTGCCCAACCACCACTTTTAATCAGAAAAACCATCTGAAGCTTTCAGTTTCTTTTCCTTTTTGTAAGGTCAAATTAAACCCCCAAATTAAAACCTGTTCTCACTAGCATTTGCCACAGCTACCACTTTTCTCTATAAATATCTTAAATGCTCTTATTGCATTGCATGAATGCAATATTTTCTTTCATTCTCTACTTCATTTTCACCTCACAGACAAGAGCTAAAACTCATATCCAAGACATGATTTCACTTTGCAGAACAAAATTTACTTACACAGTTTGAGAAAATTTAATATATCTTAAAATTTTAACTTAAGAAGTGATAGACACAATTTTTCTGACACTTGTCAAAACACTGTCCAGAATTTTTCCTTCCTGGCTATCACTTTGTAAAAGTAGCTCAGTTTTGTTTTAAATACAGAACGGTTTGGGTTGGAAGGGACCATAAACATCATCTCATTCCAACCCCCTGCCATGGGCAGGGACACCTTCCACTAGCCCAGGTTGCTCAGAGCCCCATCCAACCTGGCCTTCAACACTTCCAGGGATGGGGCAGCCACAGCTTCTCTGGGCAACCTGTGCCAGGGCCTCACCACCCTCCCAGGGAAGAATTTCTTCCTAATATGAACATCTCTGGGCACTTAGCCCTAAGCAACTCCTCCACTGTGTGTAATACAAAGAGGTATACAAAGAGGATAAAATGCAGTGAGGAAAGGTGAAGTGTCCTGCAGTGTTGCAGTACCTGAATGTGTAATTTTGGGTGTGCTGTCAGGTCTGTCAGATCTCCCTTTCACCTTCACCTCAGCATATGTGATTGGATCACCTGCAGGAACAAAAAGTGTTGCAATTAGAATCTGCCCAAGGCCAGCCCTTGCCATGCTCGTTGCACTCAATCCCCTGCAGCATCAGACCCTCTCCGGGAAAGTGAGAAGAGCAACAACATGCAAGAGATGTTGCTTTATTACTTTTTTTTTCTGTCACTGAGTAAACGTACCAAAAAGAAATTACTAGGAGACTTCATGCATATAATTGCCCTGCTGTGCAGTTTTCCAAAATAAAATAAATGTTATTCAGTTATTAAATCTATGAAAATTTAAAAAAACCCTTCTAGGTGACCATAGGTTGTCACACAGTGAACTACTCTTTTAATAATTCTCTTTTTTCTTCTTTTACACACATATATACATTCTGTCAACCTCTAAACAGAAGTTAATCAATGACAACTTCTTTTCAGTGAATTAATTTTTTCTCCTGTTTATTTCTCAATAAACTTCTTCCTACTGAATTCAGATCTTGTACATGGTTACAAAATATGCCTTTTGTCTTGTTTCCTCTTTCACAAAGAAGAGCACAATTCCTGTTGGAACAAAGCATGTGCATAGAGCGAAGACAGACTATTTTCCCATCCCTAATGAATGAAACATAATTTTTAAATGTATGTAAAATATAAACATACTGTTTTCATTTCATTCACAGATTTTTCTTCCTCAATTTCATCCTTCCACGTGTTTAAATGAGATTTTTATTAATGGCTGGTCATCACATGATCTTCCTCCAGTCACTGCTTTCCGTGCATGGAGCCTGAGGCAGGCACTTCAGAACTTTCTATAGTCTTACATTAGGCTTTCAAATGTGACAGGACAGAGATCTCCCCATTCCCTATCTGGTGGTCAATGAGTAGAAAACCCTCCTGTGCCCCAGTAACCACTGGAACAGTTGTGACACTCCTGGTTGCACCCAGTAAAAAAAGTGCTTCACCGTGTGTTACAAGATTTTTACAACCAACAGGACAAAAAATGTTGTCAGGGTGGGTTTCCTCAAAAGTCTGGAAAAGCCTGGCAAATTACTTTCTCTGCCTTCCCTGCCTCAGTAGTGGAGAATTCCTGTCTGCTGGACTATCAGAAGAGCTCAATCACCAGATTAGCTAAAAATAATGCAAGGTGGGCTGGAAGAGGAATTGGCAGCGGGGTTTTCAGCAGCAAGCCATTCATTTTCCCAAGAAGGCATGTGGTTTGCTGAAACTGCTTTGCTTTAACAACAAGAACTAAGATTTCCTGTCTCATAGGAGCTCTCCCTATCTTTGGAGGCCTTGCCCACACTTGTCTGTTCTTACGTGTGGATGCTCACACTGCAGAACAGCAGAGATCTCTCTCACTATCCCTGCAAAAACAACCCATTCTTTGGCTTTCAGTGGCCAGTGCTGCATGCAGAGCCCAAGGAAGGCAAAGATGATGTTTAGGTACCTGACTTCTATTATTTAGTTGAGTTGCATCACATAGGTAGTGTTTTCAAATTCACATAGTTAAAGGTGTGTCCAGAAGGTATCTCACTGCCCAGGGGATGTCTACAGGACCATTGGCCCAATTCAGCAATGTTGTGCAATCAGGAAAGCTCATGGGAAGAGGTACAACTAGAAAGATAACTGCAGGTGTAATGAGGTGAGGAACTGCCCTGTGACACATTTTATCCTCCACTGGGTGATATTAAATCCAAGGATGAACTGTCAGAGTAGGTGAGTGACAGGACATGTTGCACAGCAGTTTTCGGTAGGTGTGGCAGCAGAAGGAAGGAAGGAGCTATATTTTTACATCAACTGCAACACAACACCTTGGAGGTTGCCTGCTTTGCATGTTTTGCCTCATTTCCCAGGAGCTTCTTCCATCAAATTTGCTTGCTGATAGTGTATGAAATAAGTTTGGGTTTTTTTTTTTAATCTTCAGAGAGAAACCAAACGGATTTTTCTCTGAAGTGCTATGGGGAAGATGAGCAAATGCAAATTTCAGCAGTGCAAAACGTAGGACACGTCCAGGCCCGCAGGTTAAAAGCTCTGTCCTCCTCTTGTAAAAAGTCAAGGCAGAGGAGAAGCAGGTTGCAGGCTAACTAGTGGTCAAGTGTAGTGGTTGTGGGGAAGCAAAGCAAACTTAGAGCCACAAAATCAGGTAAGGCAGCGCAAACATTGAAGTGTGTAACAAAAAAATGCTCACAGGTAGGGCAGTATGAACACCCCTTTTTTTTTATGGCCTAGGTTATTATTTTTGTCTCAAAGGAGCAAATTTAGCCTTGCTGTATCAATGACCTAATGTCAAATATGTATGGATTAAGACAGCAAGGTCTCTTGAGCGTTTTCAGGCAGGTGGGTGATAGGCAACATCCCTGCTCTGAACTCTTTGTAATGGCAAACACTAAGCTTTGGCCTGAAGAAAAGCAACCTCCTAAGGGTGCCAGGGCTGCTGAGATCTACCTCAGACTTACAAAAAATGTCGAATCTAACCCACTTTTTTAGAACTTTCTAAAAAAGATCGTGCAGCTGCCAAGGAGCCAGAACAGTTTAACAGAGTTTGGCAGAAGATGAGGGCTTAGTTTCCTGCACTCGGGCTCTCAAGTATGAAAGCAATGGAACACACACAGAAATCGAAGAGAGAGGTTGTAAGAATGTATAATGGAAATTTTTATAAATATAAGAATGTGAAAAAAAAATTAATTATAAAGATAGGTGAGGTTTTTTCACTATATCTCAGCAGGACACACCGATGCTGTTGATAGATGTCATATTCCAGATCAATTTAAAGTATTTCTTCATGCAAGATATTACAAACAGCCTGTGGAAGTCAGTGTTTTAGGATGATATTAAAATAAAGCATTTATTAGGACACCAAAAGGGATGCAAGATTAAGAGAAGTGACAAGAATTGGTGATATTTTACTATTGCAATTGAAAAGATTTTTTTCCAAATACCATGCTGTCCTACTCTAAAGCGTAAGAAAAATATTTTGCATGAAATTTGGTTACTTATTTAGTCTCATAATTGGCCACAAAAAATTTTTAGATGCTGAATTTCCAAGCATCTCATACTGGTAAAATATGTCTTAAAAACATGAATTATTTCCTGCTTTTATCCATTAATGGCTATATTTTGCACTTTATTACTTGAAAATAAAGTTTTTGAATAATCAGTTTTACAGTTGAAGATATCAGTAGGTCATACACAAATTGGAAGGCTAACAGTTTTCAAAATTACAGAGACTTCTATTAAATCTTGACTTGCATTTTTCTCACCATAGAACTTTTAGAAATGAAAGAGGGGGACAGAGACAGATAAAGAAAGAAAAAGAGAGAGAGAAAGAACGAAGAAAGAAAGAGAAGAAAAACTAGAAACAGACCTATCATTTTAGAATTTAAAAATATTTCTGGTGTCGAAGAAAGGAATCAAATTAAGATATAAAATACAAGTGTACTACAGGAGGGAGAAGTCCGTTCAGCTGTCAATGAGTTTCCAATAATCTGTGTAAATATCTTCAATATCTGAACATTAATTTTTTTCAGAAACAGAACATTTCAGCCATACTACTGAAATCCAGAATGGGATTTTAAAGGTCAGTCTTCACTTTTGCTAGAATTCAGTATTAATTCTATTAATAAACATGAATTTGCCAAGCAAATAGATATATAATAAACAGGGGAGTTATTAATAGTTATCAAAATGCTTTCAATATGACTTCTGAATGATCTAAGAAAGAATGAAACGTGGCATCGAGCAGAGGGAAATGAAGTAACATTAAGTTATGAATGGTATTAATATTATTAACATGATTGCATTTTTTTACCTGTATCTGAAGTTTCTGAAGTGAAATGTACTCTTTCCTTGGGTGGTACCTCAGCATAAACCACCTCACTTGCCATTTTGAAAAGCTGCTTTCAGACCTGCAATCAAAATGGACTCACTGAAAAAGTACCATCCCCTATTTTTGGCCGCTCTCCACCATACCACATTAGGTCAAAACAAGTGTTTAGATGTCTGTAAAACGGAAGGAAACCAGAACTCTTTTTTTTCAAATGTAAATTCTCACCCTGTAGCTTTTAGTAAGCAGTTCTTCATTCTTAGTCCCTTCTGATGGTGTATGTTCTATTAAAAACAGTAAAGCTGTGATTTTGATCAACTTTCTCATAAAATGGGACCTTCAGCCCACATCTAATTTTCGTTTGGAACTCGAGCTGGCAACATGCTGAGTGTGTTTATATCTTCCTCAAACCAACTGGACACTAAAATGTGTTTCAACTCAGATCGTGATGATGAGATTGCTCAGTTTGTGATTAGATTGTTCAGTTTGTGATTATCAGATCACTTCCTCCTAAACTTCAGTAGCTCAGGGTTGAAACCAGGAAACAATGATGTAGGGAGGTTTTTATTGTTGAAAAAACAATTTCAAGAGTTTGGAAATTTTTTTTCTGCATTTAAATTTTCTTTAAATTTATTTCATGCAGAATAAAATTAATTTTAGAAGTCGGGTTTGAAAATGTTGCTATAAGGCCAACTTTCTTTTTTTTTTTCTTTTGGATTTTCATCCTCGTACAAATTTCTAATTTTTTTGAGTTTATGGTAACTTGAAATTATACCAAAACTTTGAATTCTTCTCACAGGGGAATTTCTGCTCTTCAATCAGCTCTACACCACATGCTAGTCCTCATATCCCAGTGGCATTATTAAACTCAGAATTAAACCAGGGCTTAGTCTAACCAATTATTCCACTTCATGTTGGTCATCAAATTTTCTCATTAAAGGCAGACAACACGGTTCTTTGCTTCTGCTGTGTCTTTTGCAACCGGACTTGCCTCTCTCGTATTGGCCTTTTTAGCCACCAACGCGCTTGCAAGAAAAGTGGGTAGAGCCCTTCCCAAATCTTCGTTCGCGAAGCCTAGCCATGAATGAAGTCAAGAAATGCAATATTTTGTCCTCTTGGGACCAGTCATAGAAGAAGTATGAAAGAAAGAAAGAAGAAGAGTGACTTCAGCATTTTCAGCTTAAATCACTGAACTGTGTTGAGAATGGGCTTTCGCAACACTGGTAACTAAAAAGTTCTGTATTAATCATAGAGTAATAGAATCATTTGGGTTGGAAGGGACCTTAAAGATCATCTCATTCCAACCCCCTGCCATGGGCAGGAACACCTTCCACTATCCCAGGTTGCTCAGAGCCCCATCCAACCTGGCCTTGAACACTTCCAGGGATCCAAGGGCAGCCACAGCTTCTCTGGGCAACCTGTGCCAGGGTGTCACCACCCTCACAGGGAAGGATTTCTTCTGAATATCCAATCTAAACCTACTTTCTGTCAATTTGAAGCCATTCCCCCTTGTCCTGTTACTCCAGGCCCTTGGAAATAGTCTCCCTCCATCTTTCTTATAGCTCCCTTCAGGTACTGGAAGGTCACAAATAGGTCACCCCAAAGCTTCTCTTCTCCAGGCTGAACAATCCCAACTCTTCCAGCCTTTCCTCACAGCAGAGCTGCTCCATCCCTCTGATGATCTTGGTGTCCTTCCTGCGGCTTCACTCCCACAGCTCCATGTCCTTGCTGTGTTGGGCCCCCAGAGCTGGAGACAGCACTGCAGGGCAGGTCTCCCCAGAGCGGGGCAGAGGGGCAGAGTCACAGTGCCCTCTTCTTTCAGGGAAAGATATTAGGTGAGATGATTTGCTGCTGTGTGTCTTACCTGCTAAGGCCAAACTCTTTTTTGCAGCCTGCCAAACCACATACTTTGGACAGACAAAGAGGAAAGGTGAAAGTATTGATATTTCAATTCTGCTGCAATCACAGAATCACAGAATATGCTGATTTGGGAGGGACCCACAAGGATCATTGAGTCCAACTCTTAGCCCTGCACAGGACCATCCCCCACAGACACACCATGCTGAGTAAATGGAAATTACTTAGCCCTGATGGAAGACTTGCTGAAAACTGACAAGTTCAAACCTGAAAAATGATAACCATAGGGATAATTTCCCAGAAAGAAAAAAAAAAGAAATAAGCAGAAAACCAACCATTTCAGAGACAATAAGGAGACACTGACCATCCTCAGATGAGATATGTGTGTGCTTAGGGGAGCAGAGTAACAACAGCACTGGGACACAATGAAACTAATTTTTGTTTGAAGGATCTTCAGGAAAGTGTAGTTTCGAGCATGTGCCACCCTAAGAACTCCACCATGTCGTGCACAAAGGCTGCTGTGCCACCAGGCTCCTTGTCTGGGTGCTCTGCACTGCACAGGACCACAAGCTCTGCTCAACTCTCACAGCAAATATATAACCTGTGCTCTTGCTCATAGCACATCATTGCCAAGGACTGTTGCGACTTGTGGTTGATGCAATAGGATGATTGCAGGTGAGTTTTTGCATTTGACATCATCCTTGGGCAGGCTCTAGGGCATGGAAGAATTTGCATGCTGAGGGCATTTTTAGTAGCTCTGGCCCATCATGAACGACCTAGTTCATGTTCATGGTTCAGGAGTCTTCCTCTTGAGAGAGGAGGTTTCTGGCAAGGCAGACAAGCACCATCAGGTTGATCTTCATAATTTTATGCACTTGACAGAACTGATGGAGTGGTCACATGCAAAGCTCTTACCTTGGAGCCAGGTCCTGTCCTTCAGCAGCAGCCTGGGACACTGCAGGAACAGAGGACACACCTTGCTCCTGCTGCCTCCTTCAGCTGGTCCCTCGGGGAGACATTCAGGGACCATTCTTCTGACCTTTCAGGAGAAGGTCCTAGGACCATGGAGGTAGCTATTTCTCTTTACTAATTGGAAAGTAGATGCTAATGAACAGCTTAGATTTCGGCACCTAAAGAGCAGAATATCTCAGGGTTGAAGAATTTCTGTTCAAAGGATCATGGAATTATAGAACGGTTTGGATTGGAAGGGACCTTAAAGATCACCTAATTCCAACCCCCTTCCAGCTGCAAAATCCATCCCCTTCTAATTCCAACATCCTACCCTTCCCTTAGCAGGTAGGTGGTAATTCAGTTGAAAAAGACATTTGTTGCTTGGCTTTGCAACCAAGATGTTCTGAGGAAGATTCTTTAGCAAAATAACATGAGGAAGGGATTTGTATTGGTACTTAAACACCAAATGGTGTCCTCGGTGCCAGCAATGCAAAGCTAGACTAAATTTATTTATCGAAGCATCCAAGGTTTTTGAAGACACCTGGGGAAAGGAGGAAAGAGGCTCTGGAGGCACAGAAGCCAGTGATGTTTGATCACTGTTTTCCATCCTGTGTATTAATTAGGCCAGAACTGGCAAATTATTTTGTCAGTGGATTTGAAGAGAGCATGTAAAGATCTATCTGTCAACAGAAGGGTATTTCAAGGGTTTGGTGGAAGTTTATTTTTCCCTCCTACAGCAATCCTTTGCATTTTAATTACATGAAATAGTCACTAGATGTCTCTACTGCACCATACTGCACATTGTTTACTAAGAGTATGAGCTGCATAAAGTAACTTGTCAGAGACAGGTGGATTGTGAAGGAGAAAGAAGCCTGGAAGATAAAGGTAGGTAAAGGAAGATACCAGGTTTTGGTGGCGGGGGGCCTTCTGGGGTGGTTTCTGTGAGAAGCTGCTGGAAGTTTCCTCCGAGTCCAAGAGAGCCAATTCCATACAGCTCCAGGACGGACCTGCCGCTGGCCAAGGCTGAGCCCATCAGGACTGACCCCGTGGAAGGGATGGACTCACGCTGGAAAAGTTCGTGGAGAACTTTCTCCCGTGGGAGTGGCCCCACCGGGAGCCCACAGGAGAGACTTTTTCCCCTGAGCAGCGGCAGGAACAACCTGTAATGAACTGACCATAACCCCTGTTCCCGTCTCCCTGCGCCGCTGGTGGGGGGGAGAGGAGGGGGAACTTGGGAAGGAGGGAAGGGTGGGGGAAAGGTGTTTTTAAGATTTATTTTACTTCTCATTATCCTGCCCTGAATTTTTTAGTAATGAATTCAATCAATATCCCCAAATCGAGTCTGTTTTGCCCCTGATGGTATTCGGTGAGGGATCTCTCCCTGCTCTTGTCTCAACCCATGAACCCTTTGTTATATTTTTCTCTCCCCTGCCCAGTGGCAGAGGGGAGTGATGGAGCAGCTTTGGTGAGTGCCTGGCATCCAGCCACGGTCACCCCACTGCAGACTCCTAGTTAAAGGAAATCCCCTGGCTTAGGCTAAAAAATCCAGCATTTCCCCTCCCTGAAATAGAAAATAGCAGGCTGTTATGCCTGCACTGGGGCAGAGTAGAAAGGGGACAATCTATGGAAAACCTTTTGGCTTTTTCGTGGTTTTGAACTCTTCCCTGTGGGGAATAGATTCATATCATTTATGTCCAAAACAAGCACATAACTTGTGCTTGTATTTACGTATATAAATCTCCATGGATATAGGTCACTCTATCACTTTGAGTTTTCAACTTCTGAGCATGAACTGATGAGCTAACTAGAGCTGAACAAGCAAAACAGCAGCCACTGAGAATGGCATTAAAATAGTATTTTCCTTTTTTGTTTTCCTTTTAAGCAATCTGTATGAGGTGGCAGGTGGAAACTTAGTATTCCTGAATAATAAATCCCATATTTTCAGGAGGGTGGAGGCGCTACCATCTGATAATTCACTACCATTTCCTTATATTTTTTCACAGAAGGGGAATAGGAAACTACTTTTATTATTGCTTCTGACCAATACATCTCTTAGGAATGCATTCAAAAGTACTGAATGCTGTACATTCAGGTAAAAGTAATTCTTTTGATAGCAATCAGAGGCAAGAGAAGTGTCGATGCCTGTACTTCCCTCTATTTAGTGTCTTACCAGCTCCTGTTCATTCTTTGTAAGGGCAGCGACAGCCCAGGTGTGGAAAGTATGTTTTGAGGGGATTCACAGTCTGCTTGGGAGACCAGAGACACAATACTATTTTTTTCTATAGTTATCAGGAGAAAGCTTTAGGCAAGATTTCCTGTGACAACCTTATTTCAAATATTTGAAGGTCTTCCTAAGTCTGAGCAAATCCGTCTACAGTATATGTCATAAACGGCGTTAATAACAACCATGTGGTGCTGGGTTGAAATTAATAATCATCTGCCTTTTACTAAAAAGTAATGCAGTATTTTATGCACAATATTAAAAAAGCTTTAATTTTAAAGATTTTATGATGCATTAAAAAAACTCAGAGTCATCGTGAAATCCCACGAGGAGCAGTGGTACTTCAGACCTCCTCCTCCTCATGGCCAGGCTTTGCGAACGAAGATTTGGGAAGGGCTCTACCCACGTTTGTTACAAGCGTGCTGGTGGCTAAAAAGGCCAATACGAGACAGGCACGGCCGGTTGCAAAAGGCACAGCAGAAAGACTCCTTAGATGGTATATTCTGCAAGGCACAATTCTTTCTGCATTGTCTTTTCTCCTCAAGAGTGATCCTGCGTGCTTTCTCAAAGGCATCAGCAGCATTATAGATGGTGTGTCTCCAGACCTCCTGATTGGAGGCCAGAGTAGACCAGTGATGAAGATCAATGTGGCCAAGGCTGAGGTGTTGTTTCAGGGAGTCCTTGTATCTTCTCTTCGGGACTCCTCTTATGTGGCAGCCGGTGGCAAGTTCACCATAAAGATCTTAGGGAGGCGGTGGTCCTTCATCCTGGAGACGTGCCCTGCCCAACGCAGCTGTGTTCTCAGTAGCATGGCCTCAATACTTGTGACTGCTGCTTGTTCTAGAACAGACATGTTAGTCACACAGTCTGACCAGTGGATGTTTAGGATTCTACGGAGGCAGTGTTGATGGAAGCGTTCTAGGAGTCGCAGGTGGTGGCGGTAGATGACCCATGATTCAGATCCATATAAGAGAGTAGACAGCACTATGGCTCTGTAAACACTGATCTTGGTACTTTTCTTCAAGTGTTTATTTTGCCAAACTCTTTTATGAAGCTTACCGAAGGCACTATATGCCTTTGCTAATCTGTTGTCTATCTCTCCGTCAATCTTACCATCCCAGGAGATGATGCTACCTAGGTAATTAAACTGCTGGACTGATTTGAGCTCTGATTGGCCAATGGTGATATGGGGATGATGGAAGACTTCCTGAGGTGCTGGTTGATAGAGAACTTCAGTCTTCTTTAAGCTGACTTCCAGCCCAAAGAGCTCAGCAGCGTCTGCAAAGCAGGATGTTAAACGCTGAAGAGCTGCTTCTGTGTGTGCAACAAGGGCGGCGTCATCAGCATAAAGCAGCTCCTGGACCAGATGGTTTAAGGTCTTGGTGTGGGCCTTTAGTCACCTTAGGTTGAAAAGGCTTCCATCAGTACGATATCCAATGTAGATACCGTCCTGATCATTGAGGTCTGCTGTGGCCCTTTGGAGCATCGTGCTGAAAAAGACTGTGAATAGGGTTAGAGCGAGAACTCAGCCTTGTTTCACACCATTAGTTATTAGAAAGGGCTCAGAAAGTGCATCGCCATATCTGACTTGGCCGTGCTGATCCTCATGGAGTGAGATGATCATTTTAAGGAACTTGGGGGAACAACCTAAACGTTCCAAAATCTGCCAAAGACCTTTTCTGCTCACGGTATCGAAAGCCTTGGTGAGGTCGACAAAGGTTACATAGAGACCTTTATTCTCTTCCCTACACTTCTCTTGCAGTTGTCTGAGAACAAATACCATGTCTGTGGTACTCCTGTTGGCTCTGAAACCACATTGGCTTTCAGGTAGAATTCCTTCTGCTATAGCAGGTATTAGTCTGTTCAAGAGTATTCTTGCCAGGATTTTGCCAGCAATGGAGAGCAGAGTGATACCACAGTCTGATTTAATTCCTTTCTTCTTATACAAGGTGATGATGACTGCATCACGGAGGTCTGATGGTAGTTGGCCTAGTTCCCAACAGTGCAGTACAAACTTGTGAAATTTAGCATGGAGTGCAAGGCCCCCATGTTTCCAGACTTCAGGTGGAATTCCGTCAACCCTAGCTGCCTTGCCAATTTCCATGTTTCCATGTTAATGAAATTTTGGATAGACAAACTGAAAGCTGTGTATTCTTGCAGGAAACATCATAACAGTTTGTTCTTATTCTTTTTCTTACGCTTATTCCATGATCCCTTCGTTTGGATAAAGGCAAACTATGGAATTATGATCTGCCCCTTGCTCAGCTCACCTGAACTATCATGTGCAAGCTTGGTGTAACAGTTCGTTTGGATACATGTCCGGAATAAAGACAAGTGCCACAAATATTCAAACACACAAAATATCTTCTATTACAGTAATAATAATAATAATAATAATAATAATAATCTTAGCAAAAGAATCAAAAACTAAAGAGATACAAAATAACTACCTTGTCGTGTGGCCTTAAAACAAATACTATGAACAGCATTCAATATGGTATAATCTTAACTAGTAAAAAGAGATACCAAAAAGGGATCTTAACACAATATTATGGATAACTATTACCACAATATTGGTTAGTAAAAGGGGAAATTAAAGGGAAAATACTATGAACAACTTATTTATGTAAAAATATTCAATAGTAAAAGGGAACTAAAGGGACACTAAAAGGATATTAAAAAGTTTGTTCTCTCGGTTGCTTCCTATCGATAAACTGTGCTTTACCCACACAGACAGGCCAGGGCTGCCAGGATCTGCAGCAGCTGGTCGGTGCCCGTGCTTAGCGGGCGTCCCCACGGAGCAACACAGTCTCGGTGGCAGGATGAGCATCACTCACCCCAGCAGTCCTGACACCCCATTTTTATCAGTTCCACATTACACCACGTCGGGCCAGTACGCAGTATAAGGTGATGCCTGAATGGCAGCCAAACACCACCTAATCATTACCTAATGGCAACAGCCTGTACATGTCCTACTTGTGGGGCAAGGGGCGAGTGACCCCTGCCCACATCATCTTCCTCTCACCGTCATCTTTCTCACCCCTATGTATGACCTCTACCATTGTGTTTCAAGGGTAGATGTATCTATCTTGCAATATGTAGCAAAACCAAGAAGGAACTCAGCTCTGATAATAGGGGATATCAGGCTGACTTGCTAAAAAGCACAATGGACCTTACAATTAGCTTGTGCCATGAAGTTACATTGTACCATACTCTAGCTGGTTTCACATCCTAATATGATTTCTTTCTCACGCCTCTACGCTCCATTGATCATCTAATTCAAAAGTACTCCCCTTACACTTGGATAACTTATTTTTGATGGTATACTTTTGAACTGGTGTTATTTGGATATTAAGGAATGAAAAGATATAAAAATTGTAATTCTACAGTGAATAAAGTCCCCTATTTTTTTCCAGGGGTTGTCTTTCTGTTGCAATCAATTAAAGCCTGGCTGGCTCCATTAGCTTAGAAGAAAGCACTCAGATAAGGATGGTATTCCATTAATGACAGAAAACACAAGAAGTGAATCTTTTGGGAAAGAACGCTCTGTAGGGACAGTAGTCCTGGATCAGGTCCCAGCTTCACACCCAAGAGCTCCCACAGACAACTGCACTAAGTTGTCTCTGCTTTCCACTGATGCAAATGAAATCAGGACTCTGCATTTCAAAAGCTGTGCAGGTCGTTTATGACTCATGTAAATAATTTATTTTGATACAAACAGAATACTAAGAGGAATGCAATGAGTCTCAAAAACTTACAGTGTGGAAAGCTCCCTTAGTGAGTTCCTGGGAAGAGGCAATTTGAGAGGGAGGAGGTGTAAGGCAGTTTGGGGCTCTTGGCTGTTTTACCTTGGATGTTCCCTCTGGGATTCTGAGACAAAACAACAATCAAGAACTGTCTTGAATAAATTGCACTGAAGTACAACTACAGATTTTGGGTTTGTGTTTTTCTAGGCTGAACAAAGCTATTTTCTGTTGCCAAAGTCCTTCCCCATGTTGGCAGTTTTCAGGGATCACTTTCATTGTTACAAGAAAGGTTTCCCTCGAGATCAGCAGCTTTCAGGCAGCGCAAGCAGCTGTTTTGCCAGTCAGTGATATTTGCACACAGTCACCCTCCTTCAGCTTGTTCTGAAATTGCTGTTCAGGATCAGGTGTTACTGGAGGACATGTAACACTTGTACACAGAAAGCTACAAAGGGGGCAATTATCCATGAGTGACTGATACAGCAACAGTGACACACTCACATAGGCCTGTGTTAAATAAACAAGCATTGTAATCACTGATTCAAACATTTCTGAACAGAGATGGGAAGGTCTAAATGTTTAGTCATGAGTGATACCTTGAAGTTCATCACAATTGTCATTTTTCTCAGGTTCATTTGTTAGTTGCATAAAAACTCATTAAACAGGTCCCTTCCTTCTTGCAAATATCCCATTCCAGCTATTTTCCAGCCATGCGTGGTAAACCTAAAAAATAGAGGACACTTCTGAGAGGTATCAATTTCAAAGCCCACAATCATTCAAATTAAGTCTTCCCATCCCATTTGTAGGGATTCCTCCTATAACAAAGAGAGCACCAACTGCAAATAAATTGCATGTTAAAGAACTTGCACTGACTGTGACATGGTAAGGGCTGCAAATGGAAAGTCTTAGAAAGGAGAAGAGGGGGGTGATTTATCAGCACCATAGACATCGTTAATCTCGACTCTCAAGGCTTCACCTCTGTCCCAATGAATCTGCCAGCCAGCTCTGGTACAGCTGGAAGGCCATGGAGGTGACGAGCAGAGCTCATCTCGGGTCCGGCAAGGAGACAACAGAAGGTGCCCATCTGTAGACTTTACCTCCACTTCCTGCAGCAACCACATTCATATTACTCAGAGGCTTAAAGGTCGCTGAAACCACAGTGGCATTTGCTGGTGGCTCAAATCAGGTCATCTAAAAGCTTCCCTAGGCATGATTTGCATTATTTTTCTTAAAATTGTCCACAGATAGGAGATGGCTACTAAATGTGGACCTGTTTCCCAGGAAGAAAGCTTTACAAGGAG